TTACAGACTGGAATCACTTAAAGAGTAACAGGGTGAATAAACTGAGCACGTGTGTGTGTGTGTGTGTGTGTGTGTGGGTGTGTGTGTGTGTGTGTGTGTGTGTGTGTGTGTGTGTGTGTGTGTGTGTGTGTGTGTGTGTGTGTGTGTGTGTGTGTGTGTGTGTGTGTGTGTGTGTGTGTGTGTGTGTGTGTGTGTGTGTGTGTGTGTGTGTGTTGTTTTACAACTATATAAGGTAGTGAGGAATAAACTCTTTGACCCTCCATCAACTTTGAATGAACTCATTCACTGCTTAGGAGAAAAATGTGTTTCACCATAGAAGTGCAAAATATACATGTGTATGTGATGGTTTAAAAATTAGAAATCCTTTGATATAATTCCATTGGCATGATAACACATTCACACCTACTGGGAGTTGGTAGTTTCCAATGTCCCATGTTGCATGTCTTCGGGCTATGGAGAGAACCACACATGGAGAACATGCAAACCTCACAGAGCGTTTGTTGAATTGTTGAATTTGACTGCTTGTTTATGTATTATTTGAACCATTCTGACAAAGTCTTTGCTTCAGTTAAAGTGGATGAAATACATGTCTACGTTCTCTGAAGGCAACAACAATACCATAGACATGCCTATGGGAGAAATATGGCCTACGATAGCTTGCCCAAGTACACTCCCACCTCTTCAACATTTGCTGTAGGAGCTTGGGTCAAACCATTGGTAGATTAATAGATCAGCACAACCCCCTTAACCATAGCCACACCATGTTAAAGGAAAGATTCATATTATGGATATACCACTATAAAAAGGCTGCTTGTTACATGACAAAGCCTTGATGCTGAAACGCTTCAGAGTTTGTTTCTAGGGTCTTACACGACTGACCGTACCATGACAGTACAGGCATTTATTGTGAGTGCCTTTGAGGTTATTTATTTTGTTCTGGTCCTTATTCAAGGAGCACCTGAAAAAAGCTTAATTGGAGTCCGGGAAGCACTCTTACAAAACTGTTTAAGTAAGAATCCACAGATGTGAAACTTCTGCTAATTTCTTGTTGCAGACCAACTGAATTTTGCCAAACTTTGTCAGTTTTTTAACTTCAAGTGCAAAAAGACACAGCTCAGACCCTGCCAGTAAGGGGATGCTTTGCTCTTCATAGCATCTCATTCACCCTCATGGGCGTCTGACCCAAAGCTAAGTTCAAGACTAACAATTAGCTCAGACAGCAGAAGGATTAACTGCAGACCAGAAATGATGATGGTCTTCCAAGGTTGGCCCCAGCCCGAGGGAGATAAAGCCTCTAATCCAGTGGTTCTCAAACTTTTTACGTCAGGCCCCCCTTTGGAGAAAAAAAAAATAGCTGGGCCCCCCCAACACAAATAGTCACGTAATGGGTGAAATTGACATTTATTAAAATACATCAATATGAACGTGAGCATTCCTTTAAAAAAAATCACTTTGCTAGAACAGTGATAATAAAACAATGCTCCAAGAGTCTGTGTGCTCAAAAAAAAAAATACAATTGTGCAATCCCTTTGCTAGAAAAATAAGTTATAATACTTTGCCACTTTGCAATCTGTGCAAAAAAATGAAAAGAAAGAAAATGCTGGTATTTGGCAAAAAAGTGTGTCTTATTATTAGTGGCTGCAATGGGCACATTTCTTCAAAACGGGGTTGCAGGCTCAGTGGCGACGCCAGAGATTTTTTTTTGGGGGTGCTGTGGTGTAGCTTGACGTTTCATAGAGGGTGCTCAAACATTTAGGGTTTCCCATTAATGTACCGGTCGCTACAGTTGAATTTTGTACTGCAACACTCCCCACACACATACACAGTGTTACAATGAAGGCTCGATAGAGTTTTTTTTAAATATTGAAGTTAAAAGCATCAATCTGGTGCACTTTGAGAGCAAAATGAAGAGATCTACATCTCTCCACACCCATATGAAAGAGAACTGTAAGCAGATGTGCCTTTTCTTTATAGATATTTTACAAATCACTCCCCTTTTAAAATGTATTCTTCTTTTACTGTCATAGCATTTCATAACTGTATTTAATTTATTCTCTTATTTTTTTTATACCTATAATGATCATATAAACGTGTGCTTCGGAAATAATTGTTTACATTAATCGTGACCAAACCGTTTGAGATAACTAATCTAAGTGGGTAATCTAAACACTGAGAGAGTCCTTTACCTCACTGAGCTGAGGTTATCTGAGCCTCTCAGTCTGACAGGCGAGAGTTCTCCCTCCACCTTGTTGTTGAAAAAGCTCCTTATATCCGTTAGCGTAGCTAGCTAGCACCAGATGCTAACAACAACAATCTCCTTTACCGGTGCGCTCTCTCTCTCTCTCTCTCTCTCGCTCGCGCACACAAAATGGCTCGTTTCACACACACACAGAGCCGAGCATGAATGAAACACAGAGACCCAGACGTACTTGTACTGTACTGTAGCATATTATTTTCTAATCAATCATTTTTCAAATTATGAATTTCAGACATAAAAATAAAAAAGATGGGGGTGCTTAGGGGGTGCTATGGCTATCCTAGGGGGACCTGCAGCACCCCCTAGCGCCCCCCTGACGCTGCTTTTGACCTTCCATCCTCAAAATGTACATTACAAACCTGTGTCCTGCAGCACCCTCATAGGTTTCTAAGGTTTCTAAGTGTAACCTCCGCTGGTCATGACGTCATTTTTATTTGTAATTTTTTTGTAATTTTTTTTATTTGTAATTTTTTTTCCTCCTGGTCTCTGTCTACCCCCCACTTTGAGAAACACTGCTCTAATCAGAGGAGTATCTGTGACATTGAAAGTGTCATCGACACATGGATGTTGACACTTTGGAGCAGTACGTATGTGTATCCTATGTATGTCGGTATAACGCATATGTGTAAATCAAAGGTGTCATTAGAACATGTGAATGATATCACCCTTGCATTCTGATTGTTTTTGTATTTTGGCATATAGAACCCCATTGCTATCTTTGTGTGAGTCCAAAGTCTATGGTCCAACCCTATGGTGACCTTGGGCTGGACGTTTACGCAGACGCACTCTAACGTCATTAGCCGTCTCTTGAGTGTAATTCCCACTGGCTCTGTCCGGGAGATCATTTTACAAAAACGTAATATCTCGCTGGGATGGAGAGTAGATGGTGAGTTAGCAGAAAAACTGATGAAATAATGCGTATTGCTGCTCTGTTATTTTGGGAAATCTCCATGTGGCTCGGTTTGAAATAACATTACAGTAACTGTTCAACTTTACTGGTAAAAATAAATACAGAGGATGCTGCAGCCTTTGTGCCAAATTACATCAAACTGTTTTCTTGTTGCCTTATGTGCTTTTTTTTAATCCAAATTGTTTTGGTGTGAATTGCATAGTGTTATGTGAGATGTTCAAATTCTCTTGAATATAATACAACCAGATGGCCATCAGCTTGTGCAGGAAGAAGCGACTACTCATTGGCAAGTATCCTTTAGATTAGTCGTAAAGGTAACCGGTTGAACAATCTAGACTAGTTAGGAAAATCTCTGAACCCTCCAACTGCAACAGAATCTTGATTATTATAACTGTACTTCCCAATGTTGCTGTATCGCTATGGAGCATTATATCTCTGGAGACAAATTACGTGTGATCTGTTTAAGTCATTTGAGCTATATGATCTGATATTAGGACCCTATTCAATATAGATAGACAAAAGTACACACAAAGTACCTTGCACCACTACTGTACAACATGTTTTAGCTGTAGTATTAGACTGTACATATGCATGCTTGAAACATTAGTTCATTCAGGTTTAACATCTGTCCGGTGTGTAAGGGACACCAATGAGTTGTGAGTTGCTGACAAACAAGAGTTAAAGTCCTGATGGGATTACGATAAATTGGACCCTCATGGTGGTGCTAGAGGGGATTTCAGGGGACCACCAAAGTCAGTTTGATTCAATGTGGGAACTGGGAACCATTAATGTGTTGAAAATCTTCGAGGTATT